AAAATGTTAATTTATATTAGTAAAGAAATAAAAATATTTGTACAAAAATAAGTATTACTATTTTACCATCGATTTTAAAGGTTACTTGGTCGTACACATCACGTCGATGCATTTTAGCATACGATATTATTCTCTGACTATAGTACGCAGGAAATCGAGTTAAAAAGTTATCTTCTAATCCAGTAAACATTTGTTGAAACTCTACATTAATCTAAAATAAATTAATTTTTATTAAACTAATTTTTATTATATTAAATGTTAACGTAATGTTTTTAAATAACATAATGAGCTATACCATTTCTCCATTGTAATCCATCAATCGTGGATATTTTTTAAAAATTTCTGTGATGCTTGGATTTGCTGTACTGATCCAATGTCTTCTATTTGGAAATGTATCCTTCATGTAAGAGATTATTACATTCTTGTTCTGCTCAATATATAAAAAATAATGAAAAAAAGCAATGTAAATTCGATATTTGCAAATGCTATTTTTTCTTTGTTAACTTATGTTCAGAAGCATAAAGATTTATTAAAATATCTAGTCACGTGTGCAACACCAGATCTGTTATCAGAAGACTAACCATAATTCCAACTAATAAAACCTTTGTAGATCCAAAAAGTTTCTTCTATATAAATAAATATAAATATGTAATTGAGAGATATGTTCCAATTATATGAAAAATAAAAAGTTAATATAACCTTGAAATATATTTAATGTGGCTCCATCAATACCCATTGACTGCAAATAATTGATGAAATCATTTGATGATGTCGCAACAGCAGCCTCCATTTGTTGTTATAGAAGTAGCTGTAAATATGGAAAGAATTATGTGATATAATTATAATACTATCGAGAATACTACAGTATTAAAATTCTTTTCTTTTGATATATTTGATACTCAAACAGCACAAAAGATTAAGACACCTTTTTGTTATGAACAAATTCTTATATATTGTTTGAACTGATTAAGAATATGAACAGATTATAAATATTTATATATAAATATTATAATAAATATATAAAATATTAAGTTAATATTTAGTTAATAATCAGTTAATAT